GGGGTGGGGAGTATGCATATCATTTTTGCATATCACTAACTTACAGTTCAATTGATTCTGAAACTAGACTTGGGTGGCCCAAACTAAAGGCTACCCACACTGAAGCCAATGCCACTCGCATGATTCCTTGTTACTTACAAAGGTATGTAAGAGCTCCCCTATGTGTTTGCTTCTTAGCTGAGCTGGTTTCAGTTTTCAGGGTAAAATTACTTAACATCCACTACACGTTAATGACTTTCTATAGAGTGCACAGTATTCATTACTTAAAATGTGGTTAATTTGAAAACCACAAATATAGCTCCCATAATTTCTTGCCTCTGGCTTCTCCAGTAATTTCAAAGGCTTTGTAATAAACGGCCCTGCACCACGGGCCACGTCCGCCCTTTCAGCTGGAGGAGAGCAATTCATCTGTGACTGTGAAGCAACCAGTGGCTTCACATGCTCGCCTCCAACCGAAACACATCTAAAAAGTGGTGCAGGTTGCTGACCTTCTAGCTCTGATTCCCCTGTTCCTTAAAGTGGACATTCCGTAAATAACCGCTCGCTTTGTCATTTACAGTTCTGCAAAACATAAGGCGGAGGCCCGAGAAGGGAGCCCCAGCAGGAGCTACGTTGCCTCTTCCAAAATCTCGCCTTCTTTGAGTTGCCACTACATACAGTAAAATATATTTATGTGGCTCAAGTGAGACTTAACTCCTTAAATTATATTGGGTCCTGGAATGGTTTAAAGCTTTTGACCAATTATATTTACTTCTGTTTATATAAACTGGCAAGAAGCTACTGTACACTGGCTCTCAGCCACCTCCAAGTTCCTTCCATCCACAGTCACTTTGATCAGAGATATAATATATTTTCTTAAAGAGATATAATATTTTTATATTAACTATCCCCGGGCAGTGTTAATAAGGGAAAGAAAAGAATAATGTGTTACATTTATTTTCTCTTGCTCCCAATCAGCATAAGAATGAGAAGTCATCTTTTGAGTTCAGAGTTTAGAATTTCCAGGCAAGCTGTGTTTTGAGAGATGAAAAAACTCAGAAGTAGTTGCTCTTAAGGGAAACTCCAGATAAAGTATTGTGTGCATCTGCCCATTTGTTTCTAGTGCATTCCGTCCTAATGACAGGCGATGCACAGGAGAACTAGGTAGGTTTCCAACTTTTCTGCTTATAACATTTTAAAAGTTAACTCAGAGGCCATTTTATAGAAGGTGATGTCCTGAAAACAACGTGTACCCAAACCCAAACCCAAACCCACACACCGTCTGAAGGCCAAAATTCGAAGGGCTGTGGAAGGAAGGGTGATGTCCTGCTGTAAGAGCAGGGCGCGGAGTCAGAGAGGTCTGAGCTCTCACCAGCCGCAGAGTTTGGACCCGCAGTAAACAGGATGACCATCTCCAAAGCACCTTTCCTCTAGAATGGTACTGTACCTCTCATAGCTGTTGCAAATTCAAATTCAATACCCCATGTCCCTCAGCCTGCCTGTTACAGACCCTCTGAGAAACCCTGCTTTCCGGACCCAGCAGAGAGCGAAGGAACCATCCCATGCGGCAACTGTCACCCACACAAGCACTGAGATGTCCTCCCAGGCACAGCAGGGAAAGAGCCGGGAATCTAGCTGACAGTGGAGCTCTAGGTAAGGTGCGGGAGTTAAGACTAAAGAGAGTTTGTCTTCTAGCTCTAAAATTCTACAGAATCTACTCCCAAACCCTACACAAATCAACCACCCGCCCCCCAGATCCCACAAGTCGAATAGCGCCCAGGAGAGACGGGCACCCCTGGTGTCTCGGGTTCTGCTGTCCTCAGTGTGGAGGCCCCTCAGTGTGGAGGCCCCTCAGTGTGGAGGCCCCGGCTGAGTCTCACTGCAGCGGTTTCCCCTCCACATCTGATAAGAGGCGGGGGTTCCCAGAGGCTCAAGGCCAATGTCAGACAGCGACCGGTAGGGGCTGTCCCAAGAGGGAAAGGAAGCCAGGCTTTCGGGAAGCACCTGCCACATTTCGTTAGGGATGCGGTCTGAAGGGAGGCTGGGCCCACTGAGATGCTGAGGGTGGGGATCCCAGCCCCGTCCTGGAGACGTGCCCACTGCCCAGGGCTGAGAGGGGAAGGGGGTGGTAGGTCCCAGCCCCCACCTGGAGACGCGCCCACTGCCCAGGGCTGAGAGGGGAAGGGGGTGGGAGGTCCCAGGCCCGACTTGGAGACGTGCGCCCACCTCTCAGGGCTGAGAGGGGACGGGGGTGGGGATCCCAGCGCCGTCCTGGAGACATGTGCCTACCACTCAGGGCTGAGAGGGGAAGGGGGTGGGCATCCCAGCGCCGTCCTGGAGACGTGCGCCCACCACCCAGGGCTGAGAGGGGAAGGGGGTGGGGATCCCAGCCCCGACCTGGAGACGCGCCCACCACCCAGGGCTGAGAGGGGAAGGGGGTGGGAGGTCCCAGCCCCCACCTGGAGACGCGCCCACCACCCAGGGCTGAGAGGGGAAGGGGGTGGGGATCCCAGCCCCGACCTGGAGACGTGCGCCCACCGCCCAGGGCTGAGAGGGGAAGGGGGTGGGGATCCCAGCCCCGTCCTGGAGACGTGCGCCCACCACCCAGGGCTGAGAGGGGAAGGGGGTGGG